GGGCTGGAGGAATTACATCATGTTTCGGGTATCAAATTTCTTTGGTAGTTCTTCTACCGTGCAGGCTCGAGCTTTTCTTCTAGGGGAATTTGTTGCGGCCTTGCAAACAAATGATATTTTTTTATCCTCACGGATACTTCAGAATTACTGCATATATGCCTTTCCATGAATTTCAAGGGGGTGTTACCATGGAGGTGCGACACTCAACCTTCGTGTTCGACCGGGGAAAATGACGGAGTTGTCTACCATGGATTCAACACCACACGCCAGCCACGGGTGCGCATTAGCTTCCAGGGCGAATCCTTCCGAACCGGGGGAGAATGGTGTAGATTAGTATAGATTATTATTATTATTATTATTATTATTATTATTATTATTATTATTATTATTATTATTATTATTATTATTTCATAAGTGTCTTAGAGAATAAGTTATGTTTAGCTTTCTTGGTGATCAAGTTAGGTTTAGGATCAGGGGCCTTATATAATGGACTCCCTCTAGTTTATTTTAATCAGTTGATTATGAATAAAAGATGAATTGATATTGTGAGTTTTACGTGTTTTACGAGAGAGTACCTCGTTTATCCTTCCCACACGTACGCTTTCCCTAGACCAGTTGGTATCAGTAGTCAATATGATTCACGATGTCGTCGGGATGACAATTTGCCGCTAACGGACAACGTGATGCAACCTTCAACGATCGGTTTCAACAGATTGACTACCGATTTCAAGAGTTGGACGTGCGTTTCACGGATTGGTTTGCCGATCTTTCGACGGGGATCGAGGATTTGCATTTGACGCTTAACAACGTGGTTGTTTCGGAATTGCAAACGAACAGCGATGGAGCTGTGGGCCGTGGCTTTTGCGGGGGAGACAGAGGCGGTCGTGGGGGACGCAGCCATGTCGAGGCGCCCCGACAGCGGTCCCCGCCACCTCTGAACGACATTAAGGATGTTGACTTTGTTGGCGGTTATCGTGCCCGACACGGTTGGGGACTTGATCGCGAATATGGTCAATGGGAGGGCCCGTTTCGTGTAGACATCCCCAAATTCGACGAATAGCTAGTTGACGAGCTATTGTATGATGGTCCGGCTGTGTTTGATGAAGGACCCGAGGAGGTCGAGGAGCATCTTACCGGCAAAGTGGACGGTCTCTACGACGGTCCGCCAATTTTTGATGAAGAGCCTCGGGGGCTGGAGGAATTACATCATGTTTCGAGTATCAAAATTTAGTTGTTGGATGATTTGGTAGTTCTTATGTTGTGCAGGCTCGAGCTTTTCTTCCAGGGGAATTTGTTGCGGCCTTGCAAACAAATGATATTTTTTTATCCCCACGGTGATTTCAAAAATACTGCATGTATTCCTTTCCATGAATTTTAAGGGGGTGTTACCATGGAGGTGCGACATTCAACCTTTGTGTTCGACCTGGGAAAATGACGGAGTTTTCTACCATGGGTTCGACACCACACGCCGGCCACGGGTGCGCATCGGCTTCGAGGGCGAAGCCTTCCGAACCGGGGGAGAATGGTGTAGATTAGTATAGATTATCATTATTATTATTATTATTATTATTATTATTATTATTATTATTATTATTATTATTATTATTATTATTATTATTATTATTATTATTTCATAAGTGTCTTAGAGAATAAATTATGTTTAGCTTTCTTGGTGATCAAGTTAGGTTTAGGATCAGGAGCCTTATATAATGGACTCCCTTTAGTTTATTTTAATCAATTGATTATGAATAAAATTGAAATTATATTGTGAGTTTTACGTGTCTTACGAGAGAGTATCTCGTTTATCCTAGCCACTCATACGCTTTTCCTACGCCAGTTGGTACCAGCAGTCAGTACGATTCGCGATGTCGTCGGGACGACAAGATGCCGCAAACGTACAACGTGATGCAACCTTCAACAATCGGTTTCAACAGATTGACTACCGATTTCAAGAGTTGGACGTGCGTTTCGCGGATTGGTTTGCCGATCTTTCGACGGGGATTGAGGATTTGCATTTGACGCTTAACAACGTGGTTGTTTCGGAATTGCAAACGAACCGCGATGGAGCTGTAGGCCGTGACTTTCGCGGGGGAGATAGAGGCGGTCGTGGGGGACGCAGCCATGTCGGGGCGCCCCGACAGCGGTCCCCGCCACCTCTGAACGACATTAAGGATGGTGACTTCGCCAGCGGTTATCGTGCCTGACACGGTTGGGGACTTGATCGTGAATATGGTCAATGGGAGGGCCCGTTTCGTGTTGACATTCCCGAATTCGATGAATAGTTAGTTGACGGGCCATTGTACGATGGTTCGCCTGTGTTTGATGAAGGACCCGAGGAGGTCGAGGAGGGTCTTACCGGCGAAGTGGACGGTCTCTACGATGGTCCGCCAATTTTCGATGAAGAGCCTCGGGGGCTGGAGGAATTACATCATGTTTCGGGTATCGAAATTCAACTGTTGGATGAT